GCCCCCTCCCCCGCAGCTTCGAGCGGGTCCCAGCCCCGGGCGCATGGGCAGCGCCTGCCCCGGAGTCGCTGCACATGCCAGTTCTGGCCCCGGGCGCATGGCGCATGCTTGGCCCCACCCCCAGGCCCGTGGCCCCGCCCCCAGGCTCCCGGCAGCCCCAAAATGTTGGGGACCACTGCTGTAAAGGGTGGCAAATGGTTCCCTGGGAATCACACCCCCAGGGTGGAAATGGTGTAAGGGGCCTACACCTGCTCTGCTCCCAGCCCCTGGCCTAGGGGTAGCTCAGGGGTGTTTCCAGTGTACCCTGTGCTGTGAGCTGTTCTCTGTCACAGGGACAGAAGAACTGAGAAACTCCACTTCGGACTTTAGGAACTGAGATGGGGCCAATTGTGGGGATACATGGCAGGCATGTGGGGTGGAGGCTGTTCTGGGGTCCCTTCCAGGGGAGATAGCTGGGGTGTAACACACTCCCTCTTCACTGGGGCTACGTCTACGCTACAGGGTTTTGCGCAAAAACCCGCAGAGCGTCTACCCCTCAAGCACATTTTTGTGCAAGTAAATTTACAGTCGATCAAAAGAACAGAGGGGTTTTTGCAGTGTAGATATTCCTCTTTCTACAGGGAGTAACTCCTTTTTGCACAAGAGTTCTTGTGCAAGAAGGTGTGTGTGGATGGGCAATAGGGGGTTTTGCGCAAAAAGAGCCAATCGAAAAAAGCCCAGGTGCTCTGGAGACTATTCTGAGCTTTCCTTCGAGAGAGCATCCATGCAATCTGGACGCTCTCTTCGCTTTTGCAATGTGCTTTTGCAGTGTGGACACGCTCTTGCGCAAGACGTTTTTGCGGAAGATCTCTTCCGCAAAAAGCTTCTTGCGCAAAACCCCTGTAGTGTAGATATAGCCTGGGATAACAACCTCCTACACCTGCCAAAGCTGCTCTTTTAACTCATATGGTAGGAGCTCATGTGTTTTTAATGCTGGAAGCCCCAAGTTCAACCCCTCATGCCCCATGGGGAAGGAATACCCTCCCTTCTGCCCTGTGCCGGGGGTGGGAAGAAATCACACTTCCCTCTCTTGGGGTCCATCTACACAGCAGCGTTATTTCAGAATAACTGACATTATTCTGAAATAACACAGTGCGCATCTACACTACAAGCCTTTATTTCGAAATGATGTCAAGCCGCAGGACTTCTTACTCTGACTCGTGGTAACCCTCCTTTCACGAGGAGTAATGGAAGTCGAGGGAAGAGTGTTCTTCCCTCGACTTCCTGTGGGGTAGACAGCGCCAAAAGCAGAGTTAAGCAATTTCGACTTAAGCTACGCAATTGATGTAGCTGAAGTTGTGTAGCTTAATTCCACTTTTTCCCTGCTGTGTGGATGTACTTGTGGGGAGCCACCCAACTCCCCCACAGTGGGACTTGAACTCACAGCCTGAAGCTCCTGAAAAGCAATGCCCTTGGCAAGCAGCCAGTGGAGGCAGTGTCAGGCGCTGCCTCCAGGGGGCAGGTGCTGCCTCTGGGGGAGAGGGGCAGTGGTGAGTGCCTGTGCAGCCAGCCAGCTGTGCCTCGAGGCAGCGCCCCCATGTGCCTGTAGCAGGCGTTGCATCTGTTTGTTCCTGTTCTGTTCCACTGGCCTGTATCCAACCAGGCTGTGGTCCCTGGGGGGGGATGGGCAGAGGAGAGACCCACAGCCTGCCCCCGAGTCACACAGCATGTTAACCTAAAGCCAGGGACAGAGCCCCGGAGCCCCGGCTCCCCGCTCTGACACCTACACCCCTCTCCCCTCCTGGGGATGGGGATGGAACCCAGGAGTCCTAGTTCCCTCTTTACAGTCCCCCTGGGTTGTTTAATGCTCCTCTCCCCTCCCAGCGGGTCCTGGTCACATGGGAGGGGGGATTCGGAGGGATTGCAGGGAATTTGCTCAGCACATTGGCGAGACTGTCGGCTCAGCCGCTGCCTGGAAAGTGGGTCACGGGCGGCACGGGGAGCTGAGCGCGTGGTGAGAGACGTCTGGAGCTGGGCAAAACATCCAGCCACACGTGAGCCTTAAAATGCAGCCCCGGGGCAAGGGCCCAGAGTCCCTCCATGAGTGGCCTGCTCCTATCTCTATAAACCCCCTCCTTCCCCCAAATCTGGGAAAGATAGAGGCACTTGCTCTTATATTATATGGATTACGGTAGCACCTACAAATCCCAACCGTATCAGGGCCCATTGTGCCGGGTGATGCCCAGACACCCAAGAGACAGCTCCTGCACCCAAAGCCTAGGGAAGCTGAGGCTCTGAGAAGGGAAGGGACTTGTCCAGGGCCACCCAGGAAGTCAGTGGCAGAGCCAGGAATGGCGCCGTGTCCTGTGTCCCACTCACTAGACCACGCAGCTTCTCAAACACTGGCACCATCCTTGGCCTCTAAAGTACTGGCAGGCGTTTCTGTGGGAACTAGACTGGACCCCACTGGTCTTCTGCCACTCCCTGCTCTGACCACTAGACCCTTCTTCCCTCCCTGGCCAGGGAATGGAGTCCCAGCTTCCCCCCACCTGAAACTCCCCTCCCAGAGCTGGGATTAGAACCCAGGAGTCCAGGTTCCCAGAGCCATGAGCTGGCAGCTCGCTCCGTGGGCAGGTGGGGAAATAAATTACAGATGCCACCCGAGCTTCAGAGGGAGGGGAAACTGAGGCACTGGATGGGGAAAATGGGGTGGTGACCCACCATGCCCCTCACTGTCTCCTCCTGTCGCTCTGACGTAGGTCTGAGCCGTGCCGGCCTGCCCTTCGGCCTGGTGCGGCGGGAACTGGCCTGCGAGGGCTACCCCATCGAGCTGCGCTGCCCGGGCAGCGACGTCATCATGGTGGAGAACGCCAACTACGGGCGCACGGACGACAAGATCTGTGACGCCGACCCCTTCCAGATGGAGAACGTGCAGTGCTACCTGCCCGACGCCTTCAAGATCATGTCCCAGAGGTGAGAGCGCTGCGCCCGCCCCCGCACGCACCGCGGGCCTGGGTCTGTCCCCTTAGTCCCCGTGGCTCCAGCCGAACAACCATCCCTCGTGTGC